TCTGTAACTGCTCTTTGGACTTGGACAGACATGGCTGTGGCAGCATGCTTGTCTGTTTTCCCACTCTTCCCTATTCTGTAATGGTCTTTTGACTCAGGCAGACATGGCTGTGGCAGCATGCTTGTCCTTTTCCTACTTTTGTCTGTTCTGTGGTATTTCCTTGGACTTGGGCAGACATGGCTCTGGCAGCATGGTTGTCCATTTCCCACTTCTGCCCTTTTGAATATATGCCGAATAAAACTTTCATTTGCTTTACTAAACTTTATGATGTTTTTCCCCTACAACACTATCATAACCAGAGAAGTGTCTGAAATTTGAGCTATGATTTTACAAAATAGAATAGTATTACCCTTTCCTGTTAGTCTCTCAAGAAATAGTTTGTGCCTTAATAAATAAATGTTGCTGTATTTATATTAATACCCAATCTGAGGTTTTGCAAAATGTAGTTGCTGTTGAGACACATGAAAAGCAGTTACTGATGCTGCTTATGCATAAACAAACACCTGTTATGGGGGGAGGTCCATCTATCCCAGCCAAATCTCCTCTAGGCTGCATTCTAACAAACTGGAGGAGGTATAGCTATAAGCCTATGACAAGAAAGAAAATGATATGCTTATGTAACAATGTATGGCCCCAATCCAGCTGGGGGACCAGAAACATTGTCTCCAAAACAGGTCTTTGGCTTATGGCAGGGTTTTTCAGCTTGACTAGTTTTGTAGGAAGAAAATGGGACAAAGTTCCCTATACTCAAGCCTTCATGTTTCTCTATCAAACTTTGAATCCCTCTAACCAGGTTCTTTTCCAGGGAAAGCCGAAGGCAAAAGTGCTTCCTGACTCCTCACCGGAGGGTCCCCTCTTAGAAGTAATAGCCCCAATAACTGCTTCGGCTTCCCCCACCATATAGGGAAGGTGCGGTAGAAGCCGACAGGTCGGGCCGAGGAATGACAGCAGAATCCCCCACAGAAAGGGCCGAGCCTGATTCTAGTCCAGCCAGCTTGAGAGGAACTGAGGAATGAAGGGAATCGGGAACTAAGAGTCTGACTTCATCAGGTATGGTCTCCCCCCTACACACACCCGTTAGGGTAGTTTTCAGTGAGGGTACTGCTGGGGCTTGGGCAGGGCAATTTCCTCTGAGAAAAATTCCAGCAAAGGAGGAACAGTGTTAGTACATACTCTTTTCTCTACCTCCAACTTGTATAATTGGAAGAATCACAGTCCTTCTTATTGGAGTAACCCAAAGAGGATGGCAGAGTTGTTCCTCTCCATTTTCTACAGATTCCGCCTGAAAACGCATGCCCTTTGCAGGCGACACTGTTCCAAGAAGAAATAGTAATACTTAGTGGCATTCCTTTCCATATTCAACAAAAGGTGAATCTGGAGGTCTGGGCATAAGGCCTGGATGAGCCAAGTCAACCGCACCAGTTAAAATTATTTTAAAACCCAGAGCACCTGTTATAAACCAGAGGCAATATCCCCTCCGCAAGGAAGCTTTAGAAGGGATCACACCATTGGCGCGTCTATGCATAAAAATTAGACTTTTGAAATTTTGCCAGTCTACGTACAATACCCATCTTACCGGTGTTGAAACCGAGGACAAGAGAATATCGGTGTGTTCAAGACCTAAGGAAAATCAACCAAATAGTAGAGGACATTCATCCGATTGTGCCAAACCCATATACCCTCTGGGTTACTATACCCAGTCAATGTGCTTGGTTTTCAGTACTGGGCTTGAAAGATGCCTTCCTTTGTATTCCTCTACACCCCGAGTCTCAGCCTCTATTTGCCACTGAATGGACTGATATTAAGACAGGGAATTGCTGTGGGGGTACTAACTCAAACCCTGGGACCAGCCAGGCAACCGGTGGCCTACTTTTCAAAACAGCTGGACAATGTGACCTGGGAATGGCCCCCTTGTCTTTGAGCCGTGGCTACAGCATGTGACCTGTTACAGGAAGCCAAGAAATTCACCCTGGGACCAAAGGTAATGGTAAACACACCACATACAGTTTTGCCTCTTTTGGAACAAAAGGGGGGTTTTGGGCTCACGGCAGGACGGATGGGAAAATGTCAAGCAATCTTGTTAAACAACTCAAACCTGGTTCTGAAGGCTGTCCCCTCCCTCAATCCTGCCACACTGCTGCCTACTTCGGAAAATGCCCCCGTCCATGACTGCCTAGAGATAACTGAAGTTTATTCTACCAGACCAGATCTCTCAGATGTTCCCCTGACTGACCCAGAGATAGAAATGTATACAGATGGCAGTAGCTTTCTATATGAAGGATGCCACAAGGCAGGATATGTGGTGGTGACACAAACTGAGGTCTTAGAGGCAGCTCCACTTCCTGCTGGCACTTCAGCTCAAAAGGCTGGACTCATAGTCCTCCGGTGGGCCCTGCGACTAGGAGCAGGAAGATGCATAACTGTGTACTGATAATAAATATGCCCATCTGGTCCTTCACTCACATGATGCCTTGTAGAAAGAAAGGGGACTTCTGACATCTGCCAACAAAGAAATAAAACATGTACCATAAATCCTAGAACTCCTGAAGGCAATCAATGATCCCCTTCAGGTGGCAGTGGTATAATGCCCCAGACACCTGGAAATTTTAAATATCTGCTGATTTTTGTGGACACCTACTCAGGGTGGGTGGAGGCTTTCCTTTGTCAAACCGAACAAGCCCAAGAAGTGACCAAGGCGTTACGCAAAGAAATCATACCCCGTTTTGATCTTCCAATCTCAGTACAGAGTGACAACAGGAGAGCTTTTATGGCAACAGTCACCCAAGAAGTCAATAAGGTTTTAGATATAAATTGGAAATCACACTCAGCCTGGAGACCACAATCGACTGGAAAGACCAAAAAGATGAACTATACTCTGAAAAAGTCCTTGGCGGAACTCTGCCAGGAGACAAGCTCCACTTAGATACAAGTTCTCCCCATCGCCCTGCTCAGAATCCAGGTAGCCCCTCGAAGTGGGCTCAAGTTGAGCCCTTACGAATCACTATCTGGGAGACCATTCCTGAAAAAGTCGACTTTCCCCACCTCGGTGATGGCTTAGATAGAGAAAAGAGACTGGGTCCATTCTCTGAGGGCTATCATAAACACTGTTAATCAGTATGCTTCTTCTCGTTTGTCTTTTCCTTCTGACACTCCCCTCCACAGGTTCCAACCCAGAAGTAGGAGATCAGGCCTGTTGAAAACCTGGAAGAATCAACCCAGGGAAGATCAACTGGCCCCTCAGTGAGAGGGACCTTTTGAAATTCTCCTGACCACCCACTCATCTCTGAAATTAACAGGAGTAGCCGCTGGGTGCATCACTCAAGAGTAAAAGCAGCCCGGCCAGAAGAAGAGAAGGAAGCAGAAAACAGAGAGCCACCATACTCTTGTACTCCAATAAAGAGCCTGAAGTACTACAATACAATGATTTTGACCTTATTTCCCTCTATTTTTCCAGGAGACCTGGACAGAAAAGGTGCCGGTGATCCTACAGGCAAAGGGGACACTGACCCTGCAAGCTGGGGACACTCTGACCCTCCCGTGTGTAGTCTCAGCCCTAACTCCAGTAGGTCCAGTTAAGTGGGCCATAGAAGAGCCCAAAAGAGGAACCCTAAGAATAGTGATTATTCTAGTTTGTTTTTGTGTTCCCTGTTTTATAAGAATATTAACAAAAGGAAGTACAAATACTCTTAAGGCTAGAAAAATTTTTACCCTGGTAAGTCGGGACGCCCCTTTTTCAAGCTCTGAGGACGAAATGTCATCTAATTCACCAAGATGCAGCCAATTTCCTCTCTAACTCACCCCCCATCCCCACCTATGGCCCCTAGTGGATAATGGGAGGTTTCTTACCCCAGGGGATGCCCCTAACCAGCAGGAAGTAGCCAGAAAAGAAGCGATGCCCTGTTTCCCAAGATGGAGAAACTTCCAATAAAAGGGGAGATTGGAAGAGGCTGCATAGGCCCAGCTCACTATTATTTTACTCCCCATTTCGAACCGCCACATTGTCTCATGATTGTCTTTCCCTGCGGTCCCCATCTCTACAAAAAGTTTAAGATTAACCTATGTTCCCCCTTGGAGTGTGGAAAACAAGTGATAATGATCTAAGAATGAGTAACCGAACAAAGCACCCATCTTGGGACAAGAAAACCAGGATGTTGCCAGATAACCCCCAAGAAAAGATTAACTCATCTGGGACTTGACCACCTCAAGGGGGAACTAACAAACTTCTAAGACCTATAATCCTGTCCCTATAAAAGCCTTCAGCCTATCTCCAGTGGGGGAGACAGGTTTTTTGGAAAAATCTATTCCCCTCTGTCTCCTACGTATTGATATACAATAAAACTCTTGCTGCTCACCTCACCCGTCCCAGAATTGGCTATTGCTGCAAGTGGCTCCAACCCGCGTTACTGCGGTAACATCTGTGTTCCACCGCCCCACTGTACTCATGCGATCTCTGTACCCCTCAATCCTCCCCCTCGGCAACCTCCTCAGGTCCCTCTACTCTAGCCACCCCCAAGGCGTCTCTGTGCTCCACCCCATTGATCTCCAGGTCTCCTTCCCCCAAATGCCTCAGACCCCTGCATGCTCCACCCATAGAAACCTTTTCTACCCTCTACAGAAGCCTAAGCCTTCTCAATCGGGCTGCAACGTTAGGACCCCCAGGTCCTAACCTGCCGCATACCCTGCCTCTAGCCACCTCCCTGAATATCTCTGCGCCCCCTCCCTCCCCTCGCCCGTTTACCTCCAGGTTCTCCAACCCACACACATCCACCTCCCAGCTTTCTAGGTCCCAGCGCTCTCTAGGGGTCTACCCCTGGGCCGGCCCGCAGGCCTGTCTTGAGCCTTTCCATCTAAACCCCCAGAAGCGGCTCTCTAGGAGCTGGCCCCACCCCGCCCCGCGCACAGGTGCCCCCCAGGCCCCGCCCCGCCCCTCTCCACGGCCTACTGCCGCCCTCCTCCCGGCCCCCGTACCGGGTGCAGCAGCCTCTCCAGTCCGGGCGACTCCGGAACGGCCCTGGGATAACCTCGTAGTTGCAGGTAGCGGTGGGGCGGGGCCTCTGGGTGTCCCCCAGGAGCTGGCGGCGCCAGGTGAGAAGAGAGAGGACCAGGGGTGGGGGAGTGAAGAGGGTCCAGGGAGGGAGATGGGGGCGGGGCGCCAAGGAGTTCGAGAATTGCCTCCGGCCGGAAACACACACCGAGATGGAGGTTCCCAGGTGCTTAGGTTTCCCTCGCTGTCCCCTTAATCCCCAACACACAAAACGGATATCCGAACCAGAAAATGGTGTGCGGAATGTTTATTGAGCAGAGGGTGGGGTTAGTTGGCGGAAGAGGGAAGATACAGAAAAGAACCAGACGGTGCCCGTGCTCTTTTGTCATCTCTTCCACCAGGACGACTGCCGTTCAACACTTCGCAGAGCAGGAAACCAAGGCTCAGAGGTTTTGTCACTTGCGAAGGCTCACACAGCACAGCCCGACCAGAGCCCACGCCCGTGTTCTCTCCTCTGCCTTTCCTTCACTCTACCCATTTCACAGGCCCAGGGAGGGGCAACGAGTCGGTCTACATCACACAGCTAGAAAGAGGAGTGTAAGGGGAAAGGAATGATGCTTCTCCCTTTGGAAAGATGGGGAAACTGAGGCTCAGGGTAAGGCAGTAACCTTAGCAGAGCCAGGGAGTGTGTGTGGGAATGACGCTGTGTGGGACAGACTTGGTGGCCCGGAGAGGGGCAGCGCAGACCCGGTTTCGAGCGCCTCGGGTTTAGTGGAGGCGAACGTGCTGAGCCAGCTCCGCGGCGTCCTGGAAGCGGCGGGGACAGAGTGGGCAGGTGTGCGGCGGGCCGGCGCGGGCACGGTGCGTGGCACGGTGCCGCGACAGGTGGCTGGAGCGCTTGAAGGCCTTGCCACAGGCGCCGCAAGTGAAGGGCTTGAGGTCCGAGTGCGACACGCGGTGGCTCTGCAGCCGCAGAGGGCTGGCAAAGACACGGGCGCACTCCGGGCAGCTGTAGCCCTTGCGAGGGCCGGGCTCTCCTGGGGGCGCCTCGCGTTGGGGCGGGCCCCGGGACTCCTCCTCCAGCTGCACCGTATACGTGTAGGGGACCCCGTTCGCGTCGATGAGCAGGTGGCGGCCCAGCCGCGGGGGTCGGGACCCCGCCGCGGAAGAAGGGGTGGAGGAGGGGCCTTCTGCCTTGGGGAAAGGGGGAGCCTTGGGGGGCGGTGGGTCCATGGCCTCCGGAGAGGAGGACCGAGGGTGGGGCGGCCGCGGCGGGAGCAGCAGCATCTGGAGCGGCAGCTGGGAGCGGCGGAGGGGAAAGAAGTTACAATCGCCCCATCCTTGCCCTAAATGTCCCCATCCTCACGGCTTGTTACACCTCTGTGCCAAGAACCTACCTCTTCCCCCAAAAGGAAACTCTGACTCGAGCCCAGATCTCTCTGAGTTCCATCAAGCTGACTCCAGGACGTCTCAAACTGGGCTCAGCACATCCCGGCCCCATCCTGTTCTTCCTGTTCGATCCTCCTCTCAGCCCCCAGGTCGTCATCCTTCCTTTATCCTTCCCCTACCCGGCAACAGCCATCTCCTAAATCTATTTCCCCTCCAATCATCTTCATGACCCCTTTATCTCACGCCCCAGGGTTCTTCTGCGTCCAGAACTTCCTTTTCTTTCCCAGGGCCCAGCATTCTCTCCCCGTGGACCACTACTCCATCTGCCGGCTTACTCCGCCTCCAGGCCCTCCCAGATCGCCATTCCCACTACATGCCCAGAGGGCCTCTCCGTCTACACCCGCCCTCCCACCCATCACTATATACAACCGTGGCCTTATTTCCTATAGGCACATCCTCAGAGCCCCACTAACCCAATTCCCCACTTTTCACTCACTGCTCCTCTGTCCTGTTCCTACACTTAACACCTCAAGGTCTCACCATTCTCTCCCCACTTTACAACTTGTCTCTATTTTATCTACACACCCCTAAGACATCTCCATTGTCTTCCTCTATACTCCAGTGTCCCAGGACCTTGCTACCTGCTACATCCCTACAAGGGTCTCTCCTCCCTCGCCCCTGTGTATAAGCCACTGACACCTTTATTTCTCCTCTCTGTCCCTCCGGGTCCTCCTCCGACTCGGTTATTAGCAGGCCCTCTGGATCTCCTTCACCACGCTACCTCCCAAGCCCTCCTTCCTTTATATATAAGTCTGCAATTCTTATTTCGCCTCTTCTCTTTACATCTTCGGGCCCCACCCCTACCCGTTATACACAACTCGGCCCCTCCACCCTCTTCTTTTCCCTCTTGTCCCCTAATGGTCCCTCTACTCCTCTACTCCTGCAAATCCCAGGGCCCCCTCCATCCCTCTTCCCGCTGTACCCCCCAGGGACCCCCTCCTCTGCCCCCACTTCTACAAAGAGCCCTGGCCTCTCTACTTGTCTGCCTCGTTCCCCGCGCCGACCTCTCCCGCGGCCCTGCCCGGCCTCACCGCGGTCCGCAAGCTGGCTCCTCCCTCCTTCCCGGCCCCCGTACCCGGTGCGGCGGCCTCCTGGGTCCGGAGGAGCGGGCCGAGGTCCCGGCGGCCCCGGACTTCCCCTGGCGAGGACCGGAGGCGGCGGGGCCGAGACTTCCGGGAGGCTCCGGGCCGGTGGCGCCGGGGACGTGGGGTGGGGGGCGCGGGAGGGGGGCTGCGGCGTCTTCGGGAAAGGGTGCCGGCCGGGAACGCACGCGCCCCGCAGGAAGGTTCCGCCGCCGCCGCTGTGTCGGCCGCTCCCACGGCCCGCCTTTTCCGAGGCCCCGCGAGGAAGAAGTGCGGAGGGGCGCTGAGACCCACAGAAGCAGCCTGTCTTCCAACCCGTTTGGAATAGTGCGGTAGTGTAGACAGAGAACGACCAATTAACGGAGGTTAGGCCCGGTACTGCATTGAGCAATCGTACTGCAAAAGACCTCTTTTAAGTGTTAAAAAGCAAAGATGTCATCTTGAGGACTAAATGTGCTTGACCCAAGCCATGGTATTTTCAGTCGCCTCATATGCATGGTAGACTTGGACAATGAATAAGGAAGCCTGAAAAAGAACTGACCCTTTGAATTATGGTGTTTGTGAAGAATATTGACTATACCATGGACACCCAGAAAAATGAACAAATCTTAGAAGTACAGCCAGAATGCTCCTTGGAAGCGAGGACGGCGAGAGTTCATCTCACTACTTTGGACATGTTTATCAAGAGGTACCACTCCCTGAAGAAGGACATCATGCTTGGTAAATTAGAGAGTCAGCAAAAAAGAGGAAGACCTTCAACGAGATGGAATGACACAGTGGCTACAACAATGGGCTCAAACATAGCAACAACTGTATGGACGGTGCAGAACTGGGCAGTGTTTTGTTCTGTTGTACACAGGGTCACTAGGAGTCTGGACAGCACTTAACAACAGACCAGGTTCAGTCTTTTTTGCCCGAATTCCCACGACAAGGAACCGGTGCACTCGCATTTATCTTCTTTCCACTGGGCCATCCCTGCCCACCCAGGCAAAGCCACCCAACCACAGAGGGTGCAGGGAGAAGGGAGAGTTCTGCCAGCTGAGCAAATGGGGAAACCGAGGCCCAGAGATTGGCAGACAGAGAGGTGGGGGAGGGAGATACTTCCCATGGGGCAGATGGGGAAACTGAGGCCGGAACAACACTACATACTGCCAGAGATAAGGGTGGGAAAGGTGTTACTCTTCCCACAGGGCAGATGGGGACACTGGGGCCCAGAAAAGACCAGACATTGCTACATAGAGGTGGGGAAGGTATAATACTCTCCATTGGGCAGATGGGGAAACTGAGGCCCAGACAACACCACACATTGCCAGATAGAGGGGTGGGGAAGGTGTGATACTCTCCACCGGGCAGATGGGGAAACTGAGGCCCAAGGAGCAGCAGTGGCCTTGTCTTGATGTCTCAAAGCACCAAAAGCTGTGGGCACGATGCTCCTGTAGGGCACATGGGGAAACTGAGGCCGGCAGCCCCTGCAGGCCCCTAGTGCGTGGGCACATGCTCCGCCAGCGTTGCGGTGTCCTGGAAGCGGCGCGGGCAGTACGGGCAGACGTAGGGGCGGTCGGTGCCGGTGCGGCGCACGGTGTTGTGCGCCATGCGCCGGTGGCGGGCCAGGTCGCTGGAGCGCTTGAAGGCCCGGTCACAGGTGTCACACGTGAAGGGCCTGACCATGGAGTGCGTCAAGAGGTGGCCCTGCAGCTGCATGGGAGAGCTGCACACGCGGCCGCACTCGTGGCAGGGGCAGCTGCGGCCCTCCTCTTCCCCGTCGCCGGGGGCGGGCTCCTCTGCCGGTGGCCTTCGCCCCTCCTTCCGCTGCGCCGTGTACTTGTAGGGCACACCGTGCGTGTCGATGAGCAGGTAGTAGTGCGGCGGGGAGGACGCGGCGGGTGGCGGGTCAACCTGCGGGGGCAGAGGGTCAACCTGGGAGGGCGGCGGGTCCATGGCTTCAGGGGAGGACTGGAGGGTGGGCGGAGGGTCCATGGCCTCTGGAGAGGAGCGAAGGGTGGGCGGCCGGGGAGGCAGCAGCATCACCTGGGGGGCAGCTGGGAGCAGCAGAGAGAAGAGGTTATTGTAGCACCCAGTCCCAGGGCCCAGGGAAGCCAGAGCAACAGCCGTTAGCATGCCATGGTGTAATATCAGCAGGGTCATGTGTGGTAGACAAGTTTCAGCAGAACCTCCAGACTAATACTAGGAGGAAAGGCCTAGCAATCTACTTCTGAAAATCAGCCAATGAAAACCTTATCGATCATGACAGAATACTGTCCAATATAGTGCTGGAAGGCATTCAAAATACACAGTGGCCGTAACAATGGACTTGAGTATACCAACAATCATAAAGATGGTGCAGAACCAGGCAACGTTTCATTTTGCTTTATATGGGGTCGCCATGAGTTGGCGCCAACTCCAGGGACAACTAACAACTTTACACAATGATGCAAATGTTTTATGATCTGTGCACTTTCCAACAAGACCACCACTAGTCACGAGACCATTGTGCACTTGAAATATGGCTAGTGCCACTGAGGAACGGACTTCTTACTTTTATTTAATTTTCCTTAATTTAAATACAAATAGCTACAGCAGCCACCATATGGACAGCGCAGTAGACCACAGTCAACCCCACTGCAACCAAGGCCCACGGGCCAAAAGGGGCTCACAGTTATATTTAGTTTGGACCACAAAGTATTTTTTAATGTTTCTGAATTACTAGACAATATTTTAAAAGCCAGAAAATGCACACAAAAGCTCGAATTTCCAGGTACACTTGAAAAAAATCTCTAGATATGGCAACAACTGTCTGGAACTGAGAAAGCATCTGTCTTCTTCAGAACACCCCCATGTGACCCAACAATTTGGATTTTAGGCTAAAACTAAAGATTCCCTAGACCTGGGCTGTCCAAAAGGGTAGCTGCTGGGCACATGTGGCCTATGGCTGCTCTGAACTGAGATGGCCTGTAAGTATAAAAGGTCCTTGGGTGGCACAGTTTGCGATCAACTACTAACCTAAAGGTTGGTAGTTCAAAAACCCACCCAACAGTGCCATGGAAGAAAGGCCTGGAGATCTGCTTCTGTAAAGATTACAGACAAGAAAACCCTACGGAGCACAATTCTACTCTGTAACACGTGGAGTCACCATGAGTCAGAATCTATTAGATGGCAATGGGTTTGGTTTCTTCAGTCCCACGAGTTGGAATCAACTTGATGGCAACTAACAACAAGTGTAAAATACTTAACAGATTTCAAAGACTTAGTATGAAAAAAGAGAATGTAAACTATCTCACTGGCTATGTTTTGAAATGATAACATTTTGTATATACTGGGTTATGTTCAGTATATTATTTGTTGTTGATTTTGTTTCTGGTGTGGTTTTGTGACTTAGGAGACCCGATGTGTGATAGTATAACCGCCCCGTATGGTTTTCTTCACTGTAATCTTTATGGAAGCAGATCGCCAGGCCTTTCTTCCATGGTGCCACCGGGTGAGTTCGAACTGCCAACCTTTACAATTAGTAGTTGAGCGCAAACTGTGCCACCCAGGGACCTTAGTTTGGTATATTATTGAAACTAATTTCACCTGTTTCTTTTTTTGTTTTGTTTTGTTTCTTTTCACTTTTTAAAGTGACAATTACACACATGACATACAGTCATCATACGTCCGTTGAACACCGCTTCCTTAGAGCTACTGCTTCTTTAGTAACTTTATGGAGGGGGAGCAGAGACTGTGGTTAACAGGAGAGCACGTGCCTAGTGTAAAGGGGTTGCCCCTGGCTCCCCTGACGACTTCACTCTCCTGGGACACCTGCCTGCACATTTAATGCATTTGAGTTTGCGCCCTCTCTGCCTACTCCCAAGGAGCCCTGGTGGTGAAGTGATTAAGCACTTGGCTGTTAACCCAAAGGGTGGCAATTCAAACCCACCCAGCGGCTCCGTGGGAGAAAGACCTGGTGATCTGTACCTGTAAAGATCACATCATAGGAAACCCTATGGTACAGTTCTACTCTGTTACATGGAGATGCTATGAGTCGGAATCGACTCGATGGCAATGGGTTTGGTTTTGATTTTCTTTCTGTTCTCTGGGTCACTACGTGCATACCTTCAGCCACACCCTCTGTCTACAGGAGGGTTTCCCAACTTCAGCACTACTGACACTTGTGGATGGATCATTCTTTGTGGTGGGGGCTCACCTGTGCATTGTAGGATGTTTAGCAGCATCCCTGAACTCCTCCCCCCGAGATGCCAATAGCAGCCCTCTCCAAGTCATGACAAATGAAAATGTCCCCTCGCTCCCAGTATAGAATCACTGGTCTACATGGGCAACTACTCAAGCTAAGTCTCCCGCCTGGATTCCTCACTTGAGTCTCAGACCCACGCAACTAGCTGCAGCCGCGACAGCCACCCTCACCCCAACCCTACCCCCAGAAATAATGACAGTGACCAAACTTTGTTGAGCCCTTACTCAGTGTCACCCACTGCTAAACACACAGGACACACAGAACAGTCCTCTGAGGTTAAGCGTCATGACCCACCCCCCTAAAAAAAACTAAACTCACTGCCATCCAGTCGATTCCGACTCATGGCAACCCCATGTGTGACAGAGTAGAACTGCCCCATAGGGTTTCCAAGACTATAATCTTTACGGAAGTAGATTGCCAGGTCTTTCTTCCATGGCACTGGGTGGGTTCAACTGCCAACCTTTTGGTTAGTAGTCAAGTGCAAAATGTTTGTGCCACCAGGAACCTTAAGTGCCATGAGGATTCTTATTTTACAAACAAGGATGCCAACACTCGGGGATCAAGTGATTTGTCCAGGGTCACACCATGTGTAGGTGGCAGAGCAGGATGGGACCTGCTTCTGCAAAGTGATGTTTGCATGCACCTCACACTCATCTCCAACCTCCCACACCCTTGTGAGGGCCGTGAACAATACAAGATGGGTCCTGCCTGCAAAGGACTCTGGGGGGAGACCAGAGTACCTTACCAGGTAGTGACCTGGGCCAGGACAAAACACCAAACACCTGACTTCAGGTACCATCAATTGGAACCCATTAACTAGTACTAAAACTATCCTATCCATCATGGATTGTTGTTGTTGTTAGTTGCCGTGGAGTTGATTCCAATTCATGGCAACCCCATGTGTGCAGAGTAGAACTGCCCCACAGGGTTTTCAGGGCTGTGATCTCTGGGAAGCAGATCGCCAGTACTGTCTTCCAAAGCATCTCTGGGTGGGTTCAAACCACCAACTTTTCAGTTATAGTCGAGTATTTAACCATTTGCACCACCCAAGGTCACTTAGAAAACAATTGTTGTTATGTGCCAACGAGTCAATTCTGACTCGTAAGACCCTGTAAGACAGAGTAGAACTGCCATAGGGTTTCCAAGGCTATAATCTTTACGGAGGCATCACCAGGTCTTTCTCCCACAGAGCTGCTGGTGGGTTTGAGCTGCCAATTTTTTGGCTGACAGCCGAGCACTTAACCACTGCGCACCCAGGGCTCCTTCCATCACAGATTTGAGATGTTTTTTCCTGGTTCCCTTCTGTGTATCCTTGCACGTAAGCCCTAAGTATATAAACACACACTCCACACTGCCTTGCACAGACCTCCCCCTGGGTGACTCTTGGTGCTTTGCTGTCCATCACAAGAATCTTGGTGCCAACCTTTTTTGTAAATTCCCTAATAAAGCTAGATGTGATCAACCTGGCTTTTTCCACCTCTTTTTTCAGAATCCGACTTGTGCCCCTCAGAGCCACTCCTGCCATTGGGTCCGGAGGGGTGTGGCAGCCCTCACTGCCACCCTAGTGCAAGTCACCACCGTTGACCCCCAGGTTACCACAATGCCACCCCCTTGGTCTCCACCCACCCCTTGGCATCCCCCAGCCCCATCCCCCTATGGCAATGCAAGTGACCGGTGTTCAAACACCCAGGAACCATATCACCCCGTGACCGAAAACCCTCCATGCTGCTCTTAAAGAGGAAAATTCCAAAATGCTCTTAGGGCCGTGTGTGTACTGGCCCCAGGCTGCCCCCACCTCACCCTTCACCGTGCTCTAGTTGCAGTGTTGCCTTCCCAATCCTTGTCGCCCCAACCTCTCCTGTCCCAAGGGCCTCCGCACTCACTGCTCCCCTCTCTGGGATGTTCCCCTGCAGCCCCTCACAAGGATGGATTCTTTCTGGCCACTAAGGTTCCAGCTCTAATAACACTTCCTCAGTTTAGGGATTGAACTGTGTCCTAACTAAATCCTAACCCTACACTTGTAGATATAGAAGCCCTGGTGGTGCAGTGATTAAAGCACTCAGCTGCTAACCAGAAGACCGGCGGTTCGAACCCACCTAGCAGCTCTGTGGGAGAAAGACCTGGTGATCTGCTCCTGTAAAGATTACAGCCTAGGAAACCCTATGGGGCAGTTTCTCCTCTGTCCTATAGGGTTGCTGTGAGTTGTAATTGACTCAATAGTACCTAACTACAACAGCTATATGTATATACATACATATATAAAACCCTGCTGCCGTCGAGTTGATTCCAACTCACAGTGACCCTATTAGAGTAGAACTGCCCAACAGGGTTTCCAAGGAGTGCCTGGTGGATTCGAACTGCCCACCTTTTGGTTAGCAGCCAAATTCTTAACCACTACACCACCAGGGTTTCCATATGTGTTTATAAACACATATATACATATATGCATACATTCCTAGGGGAGTCCCTGGGTCGTGCAATCAGTTAAGTGGTCAACTACTAGCCAGAAGGTCAGCAGCTCCATGGGAGAAAGACCAGGTGATCTGCTCCTGTAAAGGTTACAGCCAAGAACACCCTATGAGTGGGAATAGACTTGAAGTCAAAGGTTTTTTTTAATACCTGTGGATGCAATCCCATTTGGGAAAAGATTTTTTTGTTATGGTAATGAGTCCGTTATCAGTGTAGGCGGTGTCTTAAGCCAGGCACCTTTGAGATGTTAACAAAGAGCAAGCAAAACAGCAAGGAAGCAGAGATGAGGAAAGAGAGACATCAGGCCACATGATGATCACCAAAGAACCTAGAAACAGGAGCTGAATAGAAACAAGGATCTCCCCCTGAGCCCACAGAGAGAAAGAAAGCCTTCCCCTATAGCCAGGGCCCTGAATTTGGACTTCTAGCCTCCTAAACTATGAGAAAATAAATTTCTGTTCATTAAAGCCATCCACTTGTGGTATTTCTGTTATAGCGGCACTAGGAAACTAAGACACTCAGAGAAGCCCTCACTGATTAAGTTAGCTCAAGTAGGTGAGGCCCCAGTATCTCACCAGCCTGCTTATTTGCTTCACCTCCTATATATAATCCGTGATGGCTTTGTTTATTGATTGATTTGCTGTTTGACTGTCTTGCCTTCCCCACTCTCCAGGAAGGCAGGGCCCAGGTCTTTCCGGGCCACCAATGAATCCTCAGAATCTAGCAAAGGTCTTGGAAGAGGGTAGGGGCTCAATACAACATTAGTTGAAAGAATGGATGGATGGATAGATAGATGAATAGGGACTCAATACAATCAATATTGATTGAATGAATGGACGGATGGATGGACAGGGGCTCAGTACAATAGTGGTTGAATGAATGGATGGATGAAAGAATGGATGGATGAATGGGGGTTCAATACATTACTGATGGGATGGACAGATGGATAAACAAATGAATGAAATTGCCCTGTCCAAAACTAAAGCACTATCTTCTCCCTCAAAAAATATCCTGTTCACCCTCCTATGACACGATCATGATGAAGCTCCACCAGCCACACAAGTCCAGAACCTTGACTCTCATTTCTTCCCTCTCTCTCACCCCTAAAGCCAGACAAGCAACAAGTCTATCACTTCCAACCCCTGAAATGCTCTTAGAGCCCTCTGCTCCCTCTGTTCTCTAAGTCCCAGCTCTGGCCCCTTCCTCGCTCACCTGGACCCCTGTACTAGCCTTCTCCCTAGTGTCCTGGCCTCCAGGTCCTCACCCACACTGGCCCCAGAGAGATCCTTTTTACATCTGGATCAGATGCAACTTCTGCACCATTCAAAACCTTTTCATGGCCCCGCAGGGCCAAGTCCAAGTTCCACAGCCTAGAGTTTGAGGCCCTTCATGAGGAGTCCTTGGGTGGCACAAACAGTTAAGCACTTGACTAAAACTAAACGGTTGGCAATTCAAACCCACCCAGAGGCACCTCAGAAGAAAGGCTTGGCAATCCACTTCCAAAAAATCAGCCATTGAAAATCCTATGGAGCACAATTCTACTCTGACACACATGGGGTTGCCATGAGACAGGGTCAACTTGATGGCAACTGGTTTTTACTCATGAGGTGGTCCAGCCAGCTTCTCTACCTCATCGCTTATTCCTGTGCTCCAACCATACACAGCACTTCACAGCCCCCTGAACAGACCTTGAACTTGTACAACTCTAACAACAAAGGCTTATGTGCTTTCTTCTTCCTGGAAACTCTTCCTCTTGCCTCTCCTGGCAACTTCCTCCTCTACCTTCTAGAATCCCATGCAAGCTGGTGAGGCATTACCTGTATGCCCTCCTCACCAGTCCACAAGCTCCAGAATGATCTAACACCTACTCTCCTTCTATGGCTTTGCCTTCACTATAAATCCCTGACCTTGGCATTCAAAGCCTCTCTCAATCTGGCCCGAACCCCTCTCCAGCCACCTTCTCACCCCTCCCCTCACCTCCCCTGACCATTCTGATGTCTCTGTTCACTCCTCAGACTTTGGGTCACAGCATCTCTCCCAAGCTCCATCTGGAATTCCCACCTCAGCCTCCTCCGCTATCAAATAAATACCGTAGCCCTCACTCTCTCCCTCATCTGTGGCTGTCGTTAATTGCCTCTGAGTGGATTCCTACTCATGGCAACCCCACGTGTGCAGAGTAGAACTGTTCCACAGGGTTTTCAAGGCTGTGACCTTTCAGAAGCAGATCACCAGGCCTTCTTCTAAGGCATCTCTGGGTAGGTTCAAACCGCCAACCTTTCAGCTAGTATTCAAGTGCTTAACCGTTTGTGACACCCATTGTGATACGGTGAATGTAGTTTGCAAGAGAAGGGCATGAATTTTGGGGGCCAAAGGGTAGAATTTTATGGATTGAACTGTGGTTGAATTGTGTCCTTCCAAAATATATGCTGGAATCCTAACCCTTATACATGTGGATGTGATTCTGTTTGGAATTAGGGCTTTCTTTGTTATGTTAATGAAGCAGTAGCAATGTAACCAGTTGCCATTAAGTCAATTTCCAACTCAAGATGATGCCGTGTGTATGAAGTAAAACTGCTCCACAGGGTTTTCAATGGCTGATTTTTTGGAAGTACATCGCCAGGCCTTTCTCCCAGGGTATCTCTGGGTGGACCAAACCTCCAATCTTTAAAGTTTGCCCTAAACCTATGCATCATGAAATGAGAGCTCTAATTATCCCATTTTACAGATGGAGAAACTGAGTTCCAGAATAGGACAGTGATTGATTCCAGTCTATAAAGTGGCCAGATCAGGGATCTAGCGAGAGATCTTCCCTCTCAGTCCTGGCTAGAGTGGCTGGGGGAATGGTTTAGGAACCAAACACAAGACCACCAATCATTTCCGAGTTATACAAAGAGCAGCCCAAACACAGAGACACACCCACAAACTGGGGAAGACAGTTGCCATGTGAGGATTATCTATAAACCAAGGGACACCTGGGGCCACAAACAAGAAAAGAATCAACAAAGCCGAGACCGTGACTTGGACTTTTAGCCTCCAAAACTGAGAAAATAAGTTCCCATTCTTTAAAGCCACCCACTTGTGGTATTTATGTTACAGCACCACTAGGTAACTAAGACACCCAACTCCCCCAACCTTCATTATATTAGCTATTCGGTTCATAAGGCATGTTCATCTCCATGGCCTCGTGAAATCCTCTCAACAGTCCAGTGAGGCAGGCATCAGGAAGACTCCACTGAGCCTCTGGGAAGGCACGCGCGGCTTGCCTCGGATTTCCAGTCCAGACCTTAAACCTGGTGCACTCGACTCCAGCACGTTCACCTCCCTCTGGGGACTCAAAACCCTTCCCGGCCGGCAGCCTGAGTCCTATCTCCTTTCCTGGACTCCTCCCCCTGCTCAGAGCCCACCACTCATCCCACTTTATCTCGCATTTTCATGCAACAACCTCTTCTCCCCTTTTGGAAATGAAGTGATTACCAAGCCTGTGTTCCTGGGTCTGTTTGGGTCCAAATAATTCATTCCCCAGGTTTTCGACCCTACCCTTTTTCTACCCCCCACCCCCACACCCACCCCCGGGTCGCTGTAGCCTCTCCCCACTCCTCCCTTGCGGGCTTTCTCTGTATCCAATGCCCACTGCCCTGGGGGCCACTCTGTCCCACACCCCAAGTCCTTCGCGCCGCCCCGAACCCCCACTGCTCCGTAGGGGAAGACTCTAATACCGCCTCTCCGGAGCCTACACACTCCCCCGAGCCCCAGCCTGGCCCCCGTACCCCGGCACAGCAAACTTTCGGGTCCGGAAGTGGCCGCAGGGACAAGTTCCGGAGATGGCTCCGACATCCCGAGCCGAAAGAAGAGATAAACCAGCTTCTTCTGGATTCAGAAAGCAGCAGGAAGTGTGCCTATGAAAGTACTCCTGCCAGAAACGCAAGCCAACAGAAAAATGGTTCCTAGGTCATTTTGGGTTCCGGCCCTACCCGCGTTACCTACGAGTTAGTTCCAACTCTTAGCAACCCTATAGGACAGAGTAGAACTGTCCCATAGGGTTCCCAAGGCAGTGATCTTTACGGAGGCAGTCTGCCACATCTTTCTCCCGCGGAGCGGCTGGTGGGTTCCGACCACCAACCTTTCAGTTACCAGCTAGCGCTTAACCTCTGCACCACCAGGACTCCTTGATCCCTGGGTACCAAAAACACAACAAAAAAAAAAACGTTGCCGACTCATAGCGACCCTATAGGACAGAGGAGAACGGCCCCACAGGGTTTCCAAGGAGCGACTGGTGGATTCCAACTGCTGACCTTTTGGTTAGCAGCCGTAACTCTTAACCACTGCACCACCAGGGGGAAAAAAATTGTGCATACAAAGATTAAAACAAACAAACCCATTGCCGTCAGGTCGATTCTGACTCATAATGACCCTATGGGATTGAGTAGAACTGCCCCATAGGGTTTCCAAGGCTGTAATCTTTACGGGAACAGACTGCTACATCTTTCTCCCACTGGTGAGCTCCAAACGCCAATCTTTCGATTGATAGTTGTTGTTGTCAGGTGCCTTCGAGTCAGTTCCAACTCATAGCGACCCTGTGTACAACAGAACAAAACACTGCCCAGTTTTCTGCACCATCCTCACAATTGTTATGCTTGAGCCCATTGTTGCAGCCACTGTGCCAATACATCTTGTTGATGGTCTTCCTATTTTTCTCTGACCTTCTTTACCAAGCATGATGTCGTTCTCCAGGGACTGCTCCCTCCTGATAACATGTCCAAAGCACATGAGACAAAGTCTCGCCATCCTTGCTTCTAAGGAGCATTCTGTTCCAAGACAGATTTGTTCATTCTTCTGGCAGTCCATGGTATATTCGATATTCTCTGCCAACACCATAATTGAAAAGTGTCAATTCTTCAGTCTGCCTTATTCATTGCCCAGCTTCAACATGTGTATGAGGTGATTGAAAATACCGTGGCTTGGGTCAGGCACACCTTAGTCCTCAAAGTGACATCTTTGCTTTTTAACACTTTAAATAGGTCTTTTGCAGCAGATTTGCCCAATGCAATTCGTCGTTTGATTTCCTGACCTCTGCTCCCATGGGTGTTGATTGTGGATCTGAGGAAAATGAAATACTTGACAACTTCACTGGGTTAGGTTTTGCTTTTTGGTTAGGCGGTAAAACCAAGGCTAGAGAGGAAGTCACTGGCCCTGGGTCGCACAGCTATTCAAAACTGGCTAATATGATGCCAAATCCCTCCACTGGCCTGGAGTGGTGGCAGGAAATGATTTCCAGGTCTAGAGTACACTTGAATTCCCAGCGTACAGCCAACCAGGAACTCCTGCCCTGGCTAATGCACCAGGATACTGGAAATGTTGGGGTCAAGGTGGGCAGAGGTGGCTAGCAGCCGTCCCACCCCTGGTGGATTAGCCAGTGCAGGCAAAGGTTGCTGGAGTGCTTGAATGCCCTTCCACAGGTCCACACACTTAGGACCAGAGTTCTGAGTGTGAGACACCAGGAAGAGCAGACTGGAGAGGACTTGTCAGCACTCCGCGCAGGGGAAGCCCAGGGTGGGAGCTGGCCAACTCCCTATGCATCCTGAGCAGCCTCCTCCAGCCACACAGTGCAAGTGTAGAGCACCCCCTGGCAGCCAATAAGTGACGGCTTGAACTTGGGGACACGAGTGAAGACAAAGGAGTCCAACTCATCCCAGTTTGCTAGAATCTTTCTCAGTTTTAAAACTGTGAGTCTCGCATCCCTGGAAACCTCTCAGCCCCAAGAAAACTGGGATGGCTTGTTTGGGTCTGTCCAGGTTTTAAAACTGAGAGGAAGAAACAAAGAAGAATGAGACAAGAAAACAGACTTAGTGGATTTAGAAAATCACCACCATCCGGCTGCTGACAGGCAGGGGATCATTCATTCCCATTTTACAGAGAGGGTCATTGAGGTTAGAGAGTCAACTCTCCAGTCACAAAGCCCTGAGTGAAAACCCAGGATCCCTGCCTCTTGGGTGAAGCTAAAGGGAAAAAGAAGACTAGTAATCTCCATAGGATGGGGGCATGGTGGTTCAGTTCAGTGGTAGAGTCCTCGCTTTCCACACAGGAGAGGATTCTCGGCCAATGCACCTCGTGCGTAACCACCACCCGTCTGTTCGTGAAGGCTTGCATGTTGCTAGGATGCTTAACAGGTTTCAGTGGAGCTTCCAGACTAAGATGAACTAGAAAGAAAGGCCTGGTGATCTACTTCCAAAAATCAGTCAGTGAAAACCCTATGAATCACAATGGTCAGATCCTCAACTGATCATCAAGATGGTGCAGGACCAAGCAATGTTTCGTTCTGTTGTGCTTGGGGTCGCCATGAGTCAGGGGCCAACTCTACAGCAGGTAAAAACAATCTCCCTAGGAAGTGACTACATCTTGCACACAAAAATCGTCCTCCTTTCCCTACCACCCATAGGCTGCCAGTATACCCGGAAGTTGTATACCATTCACCTCAGGAAGGAGTCCTGCCTTATCCGTTAGTGAAGCCAGAGCCAAGTTCCAGGATTGACATCTCCCAGGTCTGGACCGTAGAGGCCTGGGGAAAGATTCCCATGACACTACTTGCTGAAGGCACCAGTTGTTTGATTTTCTGTAATATAATTTTATTTTATTTTTGTTGCTCTTGTTGAGAATATGCACAACAGAACATACACCAATTCAACATTTTCTACATGTGCAATTCAGTGACACTGATTACATTCTTCAAGCTATGAAACCATTCTCACCCTCCTTTTCTGAGTTGTTCCCCCCATTAACATAAATTCACTGCCCCCTGAGCTTCCTATCTAATCTTTCAAGTTGCTGCTGTCAGTTTAATCCCATGTAGATCTCAAAAGAGTACAATGCTCAAGGCAGACATTCTTTACTAGTTAAGCTAAATGATTGTTTTAAGACCTAATGGTTAAGTGCTCAGCAGCTCAAACTCACCAACTGCTCTTCGGGAGAAAGATGTGGCAGTCTGCTTCCAAAAAGATTACAGCCTTGGAAACCCTATGAGGCAGTTCTACTGTATCCTACAGGGTCACTGTGAATCAGAATCAATTTGACGACAGTGGGTTTGTTTTAATTGTTTGGTTTTAAGAAGACCTCATGGATATTTTTGGTTTAAAGTTTAAAGATTATCTCAGGGCAATAGTTCTGGGGGTTCACCCAGCCTCCATGGCTCCAGAACAACCGGATTCTATAAGAATTTGGAATTCTGCTCTGCATTTTTCCCCTTTTGATCAGAATCCTTCTATAGAATCTTTGATCAAAATATTCATTTATGGTAGGCGGACACCACCAGTTTTCCAGTTTTTGTTTTTTGGTTTTTTTTTTTTTCCTCACACTTTTCAAGGTTTTTTTTTTTCCTCACACTTTTCAAGGTTTTTTTTTTTTTTAGATGAAGGTTTACAGGGCAAACTAGTTTCTCAGTAAATAAGACACATATTGTTTTGTGACATTGGTTGCCAACCCCACAACTTGTCAACCTTAGGGCTCTCGACCTTGGGCTCCCCACTACCAGCTTTCCTGTCCCCTCCTGCCTTCCTGTCCTTGCCCTGGGCTGGTGTGCCCATTTAGTCACATTTTGTTTTATGGGCCTGTCTAATCTTTGGCTGAAGGGAAAACCCCAGAAGTGGCTTCATTACTGAGCTATAAGGGTGTCCAAGGGCCATGCTCTCAAGGTTTCTCCAGTATCTGTCAGACCAGTAAGTCCAGTCTTTTTCTTTGTAAGTTAGAATTTTGTTCTACATTTTTCTCCAGCTCTGTCCAGGACAATCTACTGTGATCCCTGTCAGAACAGTTGGTGGTGGTATCCCTGTACCATCTAGTTGTGCTAGACTCAGTCTGGTGGAGCCTGTGGTACTTGTGCTCCATTGGTCCTTTGGACTTATCTTTTCCTTGTGTCTTTGGTTTTCTTCATTCTCCCTTACTCCAGAGTGAGACCAGTGGAGTATCTTAGATGGCTGCTCACAAGCTTTTAAGACCCCAGATGCTACTCACCGAAGTAGAATGTAGAACATTTCTTTATAAACTATGTTATGCCAATTGAGCTAGATGTTCCCCGAGACCATGGTCCCTGTAGCACTCAGCCCAGTAATTTGGTCCCTCAGGGAGTTTGGATGTATCGATGGAGCTTCCATGACCTTGCCTTGGAGAAGTTGTGCTGGCTTCCCCGGTATTGTGTACTGTATTACCCTTCACCAAAGCCACCACTTATCTATTGCCTATTTAGTGTTTTTCCCTCTCCTCCCTCGTAACCATCAAAAATTGTTTCTTTTTGTGTGTAAACCTTTTCATGACTTTTTATAGTAGTGGTCTCATACAATATTTGTCTTTTTGTGATTGACTTATTTCACTCAGCATAGTGCCCTCCAGATTCATCCATGTTGTGAGATGCTTCAAAGATTCATCATTGTTCTTTATGATTGTGTAGTATTCCACTATGTGTATGTACCATAGTTTGTTTATCCATTCATCTGTTGATGGGCACCTAGGTCGTTTCCATCTTTTTGCTATTGTGAACAATCCTCCACTGAACATGGGTGTGTATATGTCTATTCGTGTGACGGCTCTTATTTCTCTAGGATATATTCCTTGGAGTGAGATTGCTGGATCATATGGTATTTCTATCTTTTTAAGGAAGCACCAAATTATTTTCCAAAATGATTGTACCATTTTGCATTCCCACCAGCAGTGCATAAGAGTTCCAATCTCCCCGCTGCCTCTCCGACATTTATTTTGTTGTTGTTTTTTTTAATTCGTGCCAGTAATGTCGGGGTGAGATGGTATCTCATTGTGGTTTTGATTTGCATTTCTCTAATGGCTAGTGA